GCATCATAAGAGTCTTCAAAAATTACTCTTTTTCAACTTGTCTTAAGTGATATGTCTTCAATCTTTCCTATCAGCCTCTCTTGGCTTCCTCTTGTTTCTTCCGACCCCAAATATCTATTAGGTTTCCGAGGGCAGACGGGTCACTATATTTCCTTTTACCGTATACTCTTCAGTGTGGCGAGTCATTCATTGTGACGAATCATTCACCGAGCGATTGCCGGTATAAGCAATCCCCCACTGACTGACCAACGGCTTCGGGCGGATGAGTTGGTAGGGCAATATTTTGTTCTAATGCTGTAAAATCGGCCTCGAAGGCGGATGAAGCAAAGATTTAATCAACGGTATAAGGATGGGCAAGCAGAAGTAGGGCAAACACTCCATTAAAGATCCACAGCGATACGCCCTAGTCAATCAATCATGGCAATGCTCAATACTAAAATAAATTCCGGAGTTAGTCTTCCGATCGGGTCTTCGGGAAGGACAGTTTTGAATGTACCAAAATATGTTAAATTGAAATGGAGAAAGAATATCAAGATCTGCACATGGAATGTCAAGATCTTATACAAAGCAGGAAAAATCCACAATGCAATACACGAGATAAAGAGAATGCATATTCAAATCATAGTAATAGCAGAAATGAGTTGGCCAGATTCTGGAGAAATACAAATAGAAGATCAAGAGGTATATTACTCGGGAAAAAGTGATGGATCACATGAATATGGAGTCGGAATAATCGTATCACCCAACGTTGCCAAATGCGTTACTAACTTTACACCAATATCAGATAGAGTGATGTTACTACAAGTAGAAGCCAACCCTATTAATATAAACATCATCCAAATCTATGCTCCCACTGCAGACAAAGAGGAGAAACAATTAATTGAGTTCTATGAGAACATCAACAGTATCTTACAGAAAATTCCTCGACAGGAAGTTTTTATCATTATGGGCGATTTTAATGTCAAGATTGGAGCTGAAGATAAGACACAGTATATTGGAGCACATGGAATTGGAGTCAGAAACTAGAGAGGAGACCTCCTAGAAAAATTCGCAAACGACTCAGAACTAGTTGTCACCAACACATTCTTGCAATTACTCCCTCGCAAACTGTACACGTGGAAATTCCCTCAAGACATACCCGGGAGAATTATTAGAAATCAAACAGACTACATTTTAGTAAATAAAAGAGTCCGAAACAGCTTTACATCTGTCAAGACTTATCCTGGAGCAGACTAGGAGACAGATCACGTTCCATTGGTGGGAGTATTTCAAGCCAAACACAAAACAGTGCAGAAAAGAAAATCACGATTATACGACCTACGTATGCTGAAAGACCTTGATACGAGGATGAGAGTTCAAGTTACGTTAAACGAGCAATTGACTATAATTAGGGACGAATCGAACAAAGAACAAACGAACATATTACAGAAATAGTGCAAAATGTAAAGAATAAACGCTTAAAGACAGATATATAAATGGAGAAAAAAGCGAAGAGAAGCGAAAGAAAAAGGAAATGTACATAATACGTATTATGTAAATGAAAAAAATAAAAATGTACATAGGAAAGTTTAAAAACACAGATATAGTATGGTAAAGCGACAGGTCCTGATAACATACAAGCAAAACTACTTAAATTAATGGACAACGAATCAATAGCAAAGATATTCAACAACATATACAACTCTAAAGAAATACCAGCAGAATGGCTGAAATCTAAGTTTATTGCACTTCCAAAAAAACCAGGCGCCAAAAAATGTGAAGATTGCCATACTATAAGCCTCATGAGTCATCTCCTAAAATTGTTCCTAACGATAATTCATAAGAAAATCTACAAGCTGTGTAAAAATCAAATTTTCCCCAACCAGTTCGGGTTTACAAATGCTGTTGGCACCAGAGAGGCTTTGTTCTCAGTACAAGTCTTATTCCAGAGATGCAGAGATGTCAACTGCGACGTATACGCATGTCTGGTTGAATACGAGAAAGCGTTTGATTGAGTACAGCACGCCAAGATAATGCAAATACTAATAGAAGCAGAAATTAACAACCAAGACCTGAAAAAAATTAGAAATCTTTACTGGAATCAGACAGCAAATCTCAGAGTTAAGGTGAACGCACTGACTATGTGAAAATCATACGTGGAGTGAGGCAAGGCTTTATTTTGTCTCCTGTAATTTTCAATCTATACTCTAAAAGAATATTTTAACAAAATCACGTATTATAGTAATCAATATGGACTCAATATAAACAGTCAGAAGACAAATCTTATGATAATTAGCAAGAAAAGGATAACAGAAAGTTAACTCTACGTCAATCAATTCCCCGTGAAAAGAGTGACGCACTACAACTACCTCGGCACCATAATAAATGAAGAATGGACCAACAACCAGGAGATTAGAGCACGCATCGGAAAAGCTAGATTCACTTTTAATCGGATGAGGGGCCTTCTTTAAGAGTCACAACCTCTATCTTGATACAAAAGTAAGAATGCTGCGATGCTACGTCTTCTCTGTTCTTTTTTATGGTATTGAATCGTGGACCTTGAACGAAGATATGTGCAGAAAACTGGAAGCATTTGAGATGTGGCTTTATCGGAGAATACTTAAGATCCCGTGAACTGACCGAGTCACAAATGAGGAGGTCTTCAGAAGAACGAATAAGAACCGAGAGGTACTGACCACCATCAAATCTCGAAAGTTACAATTCTTCGGACATATTATGCAAAATGAATCCAGATATGCTCTCCTTCAAGCCATTCTGCAAGGAAAAATATTTGGAAAACGAGATCTAGGAAGAAGAAGAACAACTTGGTTAAAGAACCTTAGAATTTGGTTCAATACAACTTCTGTGCAGCTTTTTCGCGCTGCTGCAGATAAGATAAAGATTGCCATGATGATCATCAACATACGTAACGGATAGGCGCATTAAGAAGAAGAGAAAAGAATTGAACTGTACGCTATTCTGGAAGAAACGTTATGTATGCTTTGTTGTTAGGTGCTATAAGGTGCTACTTAATATTATAAGAGTACTCTTGTGGCCAAAGATCAGAGAGGAAAGGAGTGTGTGACGTCAAGGATAAGTAGACATCTGTCAGGAAGAAGGTTGATCGGGAAGAGTGATGTGAACTCCATAACAACCTTCATGTCTGACAACAGCTCGTATGGAGGGATGTGATTGTCAGTGGGTTTCCTTGTAAGCTGCGTGAACGCCGCAGTTAGGACACTTTGCGATTATGTGGTGAGACGTGCTGTGGATTTATGGTCTTAACTGCAAATAAGGCATTTAAACTGCTTCTGTGGGCACACCACAATGGTGTGTCTATTTTGGTTGCGTTTGCCGCAGTACTTGGAAACTGTAGGGACGGGATTGTCATTGAGGGATAGCTCTACATGTAAACGGAGCCCATCCAGGAAAACACCTCGTGTTTTGATTAACCCACGTCTCATCTAGGTAATAAATCTTACGATTATCATTTCTGTAACATTTATTTTTTTATATATTCCCTCCTATACAAAAGAATCTTAACTTTTTCTAACAACATGCTTTGCCGTTCTCGTTTTTGATACTTAAAATTAAGTAGTCTTAAGAAGTTTATAAAATAATGTTCTTCTAAAATTAGGCAGATCATTAAACTCATTAGCTTCTCTTAAAGATTTGTCCACAGTAGGAGTCTCGTTTCTAAAATAAGATTCATGCACATTTTTTCTTATGGAATTACGATCAGCTCTGTCTATAAAATCGATTATTGTGTTGCGAGTTCGACTAACTCTTGGGTTTAAAAATGTGTGAGTATTTTGATATTCTCTTAGTATACGATTATTATAAATACTTCGCCTGCTCACACCTGACTTATGTGCACCTCATATTACTAACTCATCTGTTGTTAGAGTAGTATTTTCGTCTCTTTCACGTTTATAAATATTTAAAATAATTTCTTTCGTTTTGACATCAAATTTATATTTGATCATCATCATCAAAACCGTATGCCTACGGCTTCTTACATGTCTTAGCATGATTCTGTTTATTACCAGTGCATCTGTATTTTGAATATACCTTCCTATCCGTATTATCCGATTTACTTTAATGCATCGTACTATGTTTTATTCTCCACAGAATGCTTGGAGTTCCTGAATATGTCTTCGTCTCCACTTTCCTATTATCTCATCTTTATCCCAAAGGTCGTCCGGAGGATATTTCGTTCTAACAAAAGAATAATAATTTTGTTATTTCACGCTGATTCAGTGTCCACGTCTCACTTTCACATTTATTATGGGTCAAATTACAATTTTCTATACCTTGTTTTAGTTACCTTTAAAAGAAATTTTGATTTAAGTAGCTTCTCTAGGGAATAATAGTCCTTCCAAGTATTTGAATTCTTTGACAACGAAATTGTATTCAAAGAAAAAGACAGTTAAGATTTAATTTCACGTATGGTACGTCAATGTAGCGCTTATACGTATTTCGGCCTTATAGGCCTCGTTAGAACGGCAATTCATTATCGCTCTGAACTGAAAAATAAATCTCTTCTGTCTTAGGAAGCAACTCTAACATGGCTTCGAATTTACGCAAATAGCGACATCTGATATTAAAATCCGTAAACTAATTTTCGAATCTTTTGTTTTAATCTGTGCCTTCTAAGAATTGCAAGGCAAAACAGACGTTGATAAAGATGTTAATAGAGACATGGGGAATCTAAAATTTGCATGCCACGACATATCTCCGCAACTAAGCAAAAATCCTTATCGAATTGGTTTCTCGTACTCGTTCAGAGTAATCGGAATAAAATTCCTTCAGCAGCAAAGCTATTTGTTAAGTCTCGTTGTTCTTTCCTAACTTCGTGTTCAAAAGCAAAGTCGAATAACAAAATGAAAAGTGGATCACCTTGTCTTAGGCCCATTTTGATTTAAAACTCATCTGATGTGCTGCATCAGAAAGTTGTCGTTTATGATAAAATAGGTGTAATATTAGAATTGAATTCTATAACCCAATACAAATTTCCTATATATGTTGTTTCAAACTTTATTATTAACGCAAATACAAAATGTTATAATTTTTTTAAATATATACAAATATACAAATCATTTTAAATTTTAAATAATTACTACAAAAGTCATTATTTATAAAATAAAACTAAAAATTTTATAAATAAATAAAATAATTTCGTTTTTGAATAGACACAGATCTAGAAAATTATGCCAAATTTCAAAAATTGTAGTGTTATATATTAATTAAAATTTCGTTGAATTCCTAATAAAACTATCATTTTTCATCCTTCTTCAATGTTTAACTAAAATATTTATATTTGATTTTGTTTCGTTGAAATTAATAAATAATAAATTTAAAATATAGTTAAATGTTCTATTACTATATGCTACTAATACCTAAAAGCGTATCTAATCAACTGGTAATGATTCATGAAGCCACGTTCTATCTCCACCTTCTGCGAAATCAGCTGCAGCATGGTCTTGCCCGTCGAGAACCCATTTGGTTGTTAAAAGTCCTTCCACTCCAACTGGTCCTCTTGCGTGAATTCTGGCAGTACTAATACCTACTTCGGCCCCCAAACCAAATCGGAAACCATCAGCAAATCGAGAACTGGCATTATGAAAGACGCAAGCACTATCTACTTTGGTTTGGAATGATTTTGCATTATTGACTAAAAAAATAAAATTGATGTTAAAAAGTCTCAATAAAAAAAAGGAGCTTAATGTAATTTTTTGTTTTTATATACCAGTCAAATTCAAATCCAATGAAAAAAAAAGAAGCAAATTGGTTAACAATGATAGAGTTGCGGAGTGACACTCCCAAAAAAATTCTTTTTTGGGGAGTATAAACATATATATATTATATCTATATATAATATATATATATATATATAAATATATCATTATATATTATATAAATATATACCGTAAAACGGGGTTACTTAAGCCTCAGGGTAACAAAAGCCATTTTGCATGGTAAATTTCGAGCGCCCATGTTGACAACACTGTTTGCAGCAATTGTAGATGTTTATGTGTATGTGAGTTGACAATCGTATAAACTTTAAGCTGCTGGAATACAACATTTATTCACATTAAAAGATAAGCCTAGCAATTTATTATTATTTAGAGGTAATTTGTATTGAAATTTCATAGCTGTTTAAACTTTTTCCGTCCAGCCCAGTCCGTTTTCTTTCAAGCTTAATAACTATCTTAAAATATAACCTTAGTTATCATTGTAGACCATGCTTTAATTCATTCTCCATATTTAAGGTTAGTTGTTTTTTGTTTGTTGTTCTTTTACAGCTGTGTTGACTACGGGGTAACAAAAGCCAGTTGCTTTTGTTACCCCGTAATGAAAAACATACTACATGAAAGTAAAAATCATAAAGTTACAGCAATTTTCTTTGTTTCAGACCACAATACCTATGCCACGAACTTATCACCGGCCCCTTGGGGCTCGAAAGTATAAGGACTATTCGGATGAAAAGCTCGCTTCAGCGGTAAAAGCAGTGAAGGATGATGGACTTTCTTTGAGGAAAGTTGCTGAACAGTATGGAATTTCACGATGTGCTCTTACAGCAGCAGTGAAAGGGAAACGCAATAAGGTAGGAAGACCTTGTATTTTAAGTCCTGTTGAAGAAAACCAGCTGGTAGAATGTGTAACATTGGCTGGAAAATGGGGATTCCCGCTAACAACCTTTGATATTCGACTGATTGTGAAAGGATTTCTAGATCGCCGTGGCCGAACAGAAAAAAGGCTTAAACACAATATGCCTGGTATTGACTTTGTGGATTCATTTATGAAAAGACATGACAAAGAACTTTCTAATAGGCTTTGTCAAAATGTAAAAAGAAGTAGAGCTGCTGTCAATGAGACAATTCTCAACAATTATTTTGACGAACTCACAACATCACTTGAAGGAGTTGAACCAAGTATGATAGTTAACTATGACGAGACGAATATAACTGATGATCCGGGTAGAAAGAAAGTTATAGTAAGAAGAGGTACACGTCATCCTGAGCGAATCGTTGATTCTTCCAAGGCAAGTACATCTGTCATGTTTTCAGGGAGTGCAGATGGAAAATTACTTCCACCATACATAACGTACAAGGCACTAAATCTTTACGACTCATGGACTGAGAATGGTCCTAAGGGAGCAGTTTATAATAGGTCAAAGAGTGGATGGTTCACGCTAGAAATTTTTGAAGACTGGTTCAGAAAAATAGTTATTCCATACTTCAAGAAGTTTGACAAAGATGCTGTTAAGGTAATAATAGGGGACAACCTAGCAAGCCACATCTCACTAGATATTATTAATGAATGCAAGATGAAGAACATCAAGTTTGTGCTTCTGCCAGCGAACAGTACCCATTTTACTCAGCCTCTTGATGTATCTTTTTTTAGGCCACTGAAAATAAAGTGGCGCCAAACATTAAGTGACTGGAAAGAGAAGAATCGTGGTACAATACCTAAGGATACATTCCCAAGACTATTGAAGAAGTGTATTGATGACATGGGTGAAGAGAACATAGCAAAAAACTTGATAAGTGGTTTTAAAGGTTCAGGAATTTCACCTCTTGACAGGGAGCAAGTACTTAAGAGGCTTCCTAGTAGATCTAAGGAGAACGAAAGAGAAACCCTAAATGACTATGGAAACACTTGGGCTGCAACTTTACAATCCTTCCTTGAAAAAAACAGAGTTGAAGATACTACACAATCAGCCAAAGAAAGAAAAAAAATTAAATGTACCACCTGGTGTAGGTGTACAGCCGGATGATATGAAGGACTCTATTGATAACCCTGCAGAGCAACAGCCAAGTACTTCAAAGCAAGCTCAAGAGAAAACCCGTGTTTCAAAAAGAGCCAGAAAGGACAGTTCTGATTCTAGTGACAATGATGAAGTATTCTCACTGCAAGATTCAGATGCTGAACTTGTTTTAAGTGACTTCACTGATGACAATTTTGAGGAACCCGAACCTAAGAACGTCTATAAGAAAGCCACGAGGACCACAGTGAAATGGGAGGAGATTACTGGCAAATCAGCTATATTTGTAATTGTTGAACTGCTATTTGATGAGGGAACCAAAAAAGAAGCTGTAAAGCAGTTTTATGCAAAAGTGTTAAATACATCACCAGAAACAAATGAAGTGTCAGTTAGTTTCTTAAGAAAAAGTACGAAAACTGCTGGGACTGTTTTTGTATTTCCTTACAATGCTGATGAAATGGATGTAAATATATCACAAATTGTTAAAGTTGTTCACCCTACAAATGTAAAGCGTGGGCACTACACTTTTTTGTATGAGTTAAATTGATTATTTAATCTTCAAAAACCTTAAAACATATAAAAATGTTAGTAAATAAAGTTTTTTCCAATTAAATTCATTTTTTTAAACATAAGTATTGTTTATTTTAGCCCTGTGTACGGATTTAGTTACCCCAGGAGTGTTTAACTTACGCCACACATTTATCTATCATGCCTGGTTTTTCATACCCCGTTCTAAGGGGAAACTTAGGCCACCATGTTTTAAATTTTTTTGACAGGTAAAAAATTTTTTAACTCTTTTTTTGGTATTAAACAATAAGTTTAGATACAGACCCACGTTTTTACCAAGTTTTAAATCCCTAAAGTGATTGGTCTAGATTTGAAAGGTGTTTGAATTTCAAAAGTGGCCTAAGTAACCCGTTTATCGGTATATTATATATATATATATATATTATCTATATATATATATATTATATATATATATTATATATAACACTATATTATTATATAATTATATATATATATATATATATATACTATATATTATTATACTATATATAATACTATATATATATAAATATTATATATATACTAATATATATATACTATATATTATTTTTGTATGTCTCAGCAATTGGTCTGTATGAAATAAAACTCTATTTGTTATTTCTCAATATTATCGTCACGATTTTGTGACTTCTTCAGGAGAAAACTGTAAATTTATTATAAATTATTATATGTAAAACAAAAATGAATATTTCAATACTTACAATCTTAAGATTAAAAAATTTAAATTTTGATACCACATCCAATTTAAATAAATGACATTTTTTTTTGATTTTAATTTATTTGGGAGTTATGGTAACCCGCCAATATTTTATAGTAGTGACTTCCAATTGTACAATTTTTAGCGAATAAGTTTTAGTAAACAATTACATATTGTGACAGTATTATCCATAAATAAGGTGCAAAAGTAGAAGATTGAGAAGAATCAGGAACAATGGTAAATTGATCTATAAAATGTAATTGATGGTACGTAGTCAGTTATTGGTCAGATGTTATTAGATACTGATATTAAGATCCTATCTCACATCATCATCATCATATCATCATATAACTACTGAATATTATATCAGTAACAAAATCCCCTAACAATATAAAAAATATAGCAAAAGAGACGTGTTAAAACAAATTTCACTGTCGAGTACAATAAAAGTGTAGATAAAATAATTTAATTGTTATTAAACGTCACTGACAATTCATAGACTACTTGAGATTAAAGTGTTGTTGCTAACACAAGTGTCAATTCCAAAGCATACTTGATGAATATTAAGAAATGTAACGATTACAATAAAATACATGTATACCTTCGAGTTTAAATAAATCGAAAACGGTGATATCTATCGAAATATTACAAGAGCACCTTTTTTGCGTAGAAAAGTCTAAGGAAAACAATTTTTAAAATATTTTTTTAAAATATGTAAAAATTAAAAAACATGTGACGCAATAACTCCCACTTACCTCCAAAACTACCCTGTATTAATATAGGATGTGGTAGGTGGTGACATGAAATTAATTATCCTAATGTCTTATAATCACTCCCACAATATGAACTCCGTATTCAAAACCGTTTGAAAGATATTTGAAAAAATAAGAATTTCAATTCACCCCTTTAAAGGGTTGTATCTCCCTTATTATTCAGTTTTATAAAAAAGTGTACATAAAGAAGTACCTTATTTTTGGACGTACTATGAGCTCTAGAAATTAATGTACATAATTCTGGACCACTTGTATATATATATATATATATATATTATATATATATATACTATATATATATATATATATATATATATATATTAATGTTTATATATATATTATATATATATATATATATGTATATATATATATATATATATATATATATATATATATATATGTATACTATTGATATATAATTATATATATATATAATATATATATGTTCGGATAGATTTCCGCGGTCAGATGAAGAAATCACTAGGTTCTCGGGAAGAACCGCGTTGAGAATTTAATGCTCGACGTTTCGGCTCCCATTTTGGAGCCATTATCAAGAGGGATACGGTTCGGTTCGAGTTCGGGGTCTCAATCTGCCTACTCCCCTCACTCGAAAGGTACCAGTATCGTGTTCTGTATTATGATTACAAGAACTGTCTCTCGGCACTGAGGTCTCAATCTGCCTACCCTCGCTCGTCACTCGACACTGAATTTTTTACATATTTCGTACAGATCAAAACGACAAAAAAGGATAGTCGTTAAAGGCTACCAAAATAGGTGGCACTTTTTGCACCTTACACTGTAGAAGTGGAAATAGCACACACTATCGCTGGGTTTTCTACTAGTTACACCATCTAAAGACGTAGGTCAGACAGAAATTAGTCTATTAAAACCAATTGATAAACGGAAAAATGACAAATTGTGCTTTTTTGTCGGTTATTTTGATATATTCGGCGTCTCAATTCATCATACCCGTAGCTAAGCTCTTGCTGAAATTTGTACATCTTTTACACATTTCGGACAGCTCAATAAGACATAAAACTATAGTCGTTTTCGTTTAAAGCTACCAAAATAAGTGGCGTTTTTTGCAGCTTACACATTGAAGTGGAAATAGTAGGACACATTTGGTGACTTTCTATGTATGAGCTTGTATCTACCCAACTGTCTGAAGACGTATGGTATACAGAAATAACGTTGTAACAGTCTATTGATATCAATTTATACATGGAAAGTTGACAAAAGTTGAGTCTCAAACTCAGACGACTGTACCGGATAATAGGTAAAAGGTATCAACATCTTCATTACAAAACTTTAGTTACAAATTAGACAGAAAATCATTGTGAAATTATAGAATCTATGTATAGTTTAAATAATATTTAATAACTTACTATTTTCTGTAACGATTACATCAGTGTGCGCACTTCCAAACGTGTGGATATGTTTGATAGCATCTTCTAAACTCTCAACAACCTCTATGCAACATTCAAGCGATCCATATTCATGTTTCATTGTTTTTGCCAAAGGTGGACCGAAGGTTAGCATTTGGGTAAGTACTGGTCCTGCATGAATTTTAACACCTTCCTTTTTAAGCATATTGCAAATTTCTGTAAAGAAGTCTCCGTCCATAAGGTCTTTATGAATAAGAAGGGTTTCCATAGCATTGCAAGCTGCCGGGTAGTCACATTTTTGAGTCTCTTATTATTCTTAGGGCTTTATGAAGATCTGCTTCTTTATCTACATACACATGGCAAATACCTAAATAGTAAAAAACAAATTAATATATAGACTTTCGAAATAGTTTGATTGTGTTTAGTATCAAATGGTTAGGGATATAAAAAAGAATTAAATCCTAAACCTAAAGAAAGAAAACCTAAACTGATATGGCTGAAATTATAATCATTTATTGCTTTTGCAAAGGTAATATTCTATAAAAAATGTTATTAAAATAAAATAATTTATAATGGGTAACCGGATTTAAACAGTGTGGAAACCACTTATGGAATAAAATTGTTTGTGTCCTTATTATAGAAAATAATCAAAAACTCTGAGACACGTTAGCTTTTAAATTTAAATGTGCGCTTGAATTAAGTAGGGGCTTTCCTGTACTTCGCGGAAGACGGACGAGTGGGGGAGTCCTCAATACTGAAAAAGCGCATCCCACTGGCTTATTTAGAAATATCTTACAAATATCAAACAATAAACGATAGACCCAGAAAAATAGCATTCGGAACAAAACCAGAAAATTTCCATGTCTTTCGGGTATCTATGTCCACAACAGTTGCCCAGATGAAGATAATGACGACACTAACAAAAGTATGGAAAACATATTGAAACCCCACAAAAAGAGCCAGTACGTATATATTATTGGAGACTTTAACGCCAAGGTACGAAAAACTGAAAATTAACCACATTTAGCAGGTATTCTAGGGTTATTTGGCATGGATATCAGAAACAACAAAGAAGAACGTCTCCTATAGTTTACCAATGAAAAAATCTAATGAAAACTACTATACTTTATAAATACCACCCAAGAAGTCTCTAAACGTGGTCTAGACCAAATAAAGAACATGAAAATCAAATTAACTAAATACTCGTGCAGAAAAGATGAATAACCCGAGTATTAAATATAAACGTTATGCCTGGAGCATACTATGGATCAGATCATAAATTGCTAAAAATGACCTAGCAAAGGGTCAATAATATAAAAGAATTCTAGACTGCACTCATAAACAAAGAAAACCCACAAATAATATTATAAAAAGCTGGATATATTCATCGAAAAAGGAGTGCACCGCGTTAAAGCCAAAAGAACAAACATTGGATATCAGGGGAAACCTTAAGAAATTAGTACAAAAAAAAGAGTTATACTACAGCATAACACAAATTTGGAAAATAAATATATAAATAACGAGTATCAAGAACTGGAGCAACATGCAAACCGACAAAAAAGTCATGAACTCTTTTAAAAAATGTAAAAATTTGTTTGATATTTAACATTTATTTTTTATTGTTTTCATCGAGATTTCAAGCCACAACTTTAAGCCAGTTAAGACCATAATGGAAAAGTAAAAAACCGACATAAAGAGAATTGCAAAGACATGAAAAAATTACTTATCAGAACTGTATAAAGACACTTCAAAAGATGTATCAGCCTCAGAACACAAAAAATATGCAATCAGAAAGACTACACCAATAATCTTACGAGAAGATTACTTTACTAAGAAAAAGAGAAAGCTATTAACCAACTAAGAAACAAAACATCGCCAGGGATCGATGGCATATCAGCAGAGACTGTAAAAGCAATGGGCAAGATTGGCGTAGATTTAGTACTGGATTTTTGCAACATTAGATGGATCAGTCGGTCAGATAGCTCAGCGGGCTGTGCGGCTGCCTCTCATTCGCTTCACTGTCGAATGGTTTAGTGGATGTGGTCGTGCCCAAGCTCGGTGTACAGAAAACAAAAAGTCTAACGCAGCAGTTTAAAATTCTGATGAATCTGCGGCTTAGACTAGGATATGTGGGTTTGATCGGCTATGGTGAGCAGTACGGCAAGAGATAAGGGCTTGCGGTGGGTGTATCCTTATAGATCCTACCGGACGGCGTAACGCTAATAAAACCGGATATATATATATAGGATGGATCAAAGATAAATGTCCTAATGAGTGGTGCGAATCAACTTTTATTCCTATCCATAAAAAACTACCACTAACTGTATGTAGCAATTATAGAATACCATCACTCTACCACGTGTTTATTGTTTGCCTTTCGGAGCCGCAGTCGCAATTTGGTGATTGTATTTTTCTCCATCTAAAAAGTGAGTCGAAACATCTGCAGTTCGTCCGCTCGTAAGGACGAACTGTGCACACGCAGTTCGTCTTATTCTATTGAGTGTGGTCCAATTCGTCTCAGTTGGTTAAAGCCCTCAGGTTTGCTTGTAATACATGGCATATTCCAGTTAGCTGGTGCAGCGTTATTCTCCCATTGTTCTCTTCACCGTTCAGTTACATTAAAGTTTTGATCTACTAGCCTTTTTGCTGTTTTTAGGGGCGGGTGTGTCTTGAACGGAGCTATTTATGTCTCTGGCGGATAGTACCGAAATGGGAGCGGAGCTCAGGATCAGTATTGATTTTTGTAAATTCTCTGACAAGGGCATGTTCCCGGCGGATGGGTGGTGGAGCTAGATGACTCAAAGCTGGTAACCAGTAAGTGGGCGTGGCCTTGATTGTGCCCGATATAGTTCGCATGGCTTGTTTGAGTTGGACATCAACACGGTGAGTATATGGACTGTTTATCCATACTGGTGCACAGTATTCCGCTACGGGTTATACCAATCCTAATGCTGTCGATCTAAGTGTGGGTGCTGAGGAGCCCCATGTAGTGCCGCAGAGCTTTTGCAGGATGTTGTTACGAGTTCGGAGTTTTGCGGCAGTCTTAGTAAGATGTTCTTTAAAGTTTAGCGTTCTATCAAGTGTAACACCTAAGTATTTTGGGTGTTTATTATAGTTAACGAGTCTATCCTTAAAATGGATTTGAGGTTGATAGTTGGCCATCTTGTTATACAAATGGAAGCAGGACACTTCTGTCTTAGTTGGATTAGGTTGCAATCTACATTTGCGGAAATAATTTCCTAGGGCATTTAATATCGTTTGTTAGAATGCGTTCAGTGACCTCGAATTCTTTATGACTTGCGGCAAGCGTCCAGTCGTCTGCGTATCCAAACTTTTTTGATTTGGTTTCTGGCATGTCTGCTATGTAGAAGCTGAAAAGCATGGGAGCCAGCACGGATCCTTGTCGAAGTCCATTATTCAGTTTTCTTTGGGTACTAGTCTTGTCTCCCAGATAACTTTAAAGCATCTGTTGGATAGCATGGCGTTAATAACCTCAGTGGTCTTCCTGCATGGGATTATTCGCACTAATTTATATATTGCCCATTGTCGCCACACAGTGTCGTAAGCAGCAGATAGATCGATGAAGACAGCGGTTGCTTTTAGTTGATTTTGAAAGTTTGATTCCACATAATTGGTTAGGGCGAGTACCTGGTCTGTGCAGCTTGCGGTTTGGCCCGAAATCTGCCTGTTCACTGGTAAGTGTTGAAATATGGTTTTGCTGTATGTATGATTATATTAAACAACAGTCTTTCGAACAATTATGTACACCATACTTAAGAGTGCGATGGAGGCGGTAGTTTTTCGGTGAATTATTACTTTTCGCTGGTTTTAAAATGGCGACGATTTTTGCATTTTTGAGTTGGTTGGGGACGTTTCCCTTTGAAAGATGTCAGAAAAGAATTCTGCGAGCCATTGCCTAGTGAATCTGCCGCTATTTTTGAGGAACTCAGCGCGAATGGCGTCGAAACCCGGCGCTTTCCTGTTTTCATTTCATTTAGGGCTTGCAATATTTCTTCATGCGTAAATGCGTTGGAATATTTTGTTGAGTGTGCAAGACTAGATTTTATGGTTTTGAGATCTTTTTTTAATTTTAATTGTATGTAAACATTTTGAGGTGCCCTAGAGGTTGACACTATGTACGTAGCTATTTGGTCTGGAGCTCCTAGGTTGGTTTGGCGAACGGGTGGGTTGCTACTTTCCGAGTTTCCGCAGTAGGGACCAAGCTCGTCGACTTGACTTCTGAAAGTCTAGGTTTTCTACTGTCTGGGTTCATTTTTCACGCCTGGCAGCATCATTAATGCTGTGAAGTAGTTGGAGCAAGGCGGGGGGGCAGACTCGCTCGCGGATGCGGTAAGGCTCGGCATGGCTCGGCAGCTTTCGGCGCGATAGCGTTGGGGTCCGCAAGGGGGGGAAAAGGATGCGTGTTTTGATAGTAACATTGGGACGCGGGCTGGGTTTCTTTTATGCTGTTCGGAATAATCTTCTTTGATGTTCATAAACACACTCCATCATTATCAAAGTGAGATCGAATATACTCTAATCTGGGTTGAGCAAGAGTATCACTCTACATGCAAAAGAAAGCGGACTCTTGCACGCCTTAGGCTGGGAGCCTGGCGCAGAGATGAATATATCTCTGCTCTGGTTGTTAGTGACTCCCGTACAGACTTCGTGGCTCAGTTAAAGTAGAGAACGATCACATTTCATAAGGTCATTAGCTCAAGAATTACGTGGATGAAAGCAGCGAGACTTTTCGCTGGACAGTAATCTCCTATCATCGAGGAGAGTTATGATTCAAGGAGTGTTAAAATGAAACCATACTAGTAAAAGGCGGGTTGCTATGTAATAGAGTCAAGTGCGTGCAGTAGCTTATCGCGGTACATCTCGTACTCGCGTCGAAAATTCTAGATGATACCGCTAATCCCAATTCGCATTAGCGCACAAGGACAAATGCCTTGATTCTAAGAGATGACAGAATACTCACGACGATAGATCCTCTTCATCGTTACGAAGTGCTAGAAAGACATAATCAGATATCTACAGAGTAAAATATATAACACTCTAGCTCTTCACAGAAGTCACTCAAAGATCTCAGCTAAAGTAACTACTCCTATCATTGGCTCTTCGACATCAGTTTGAGGCCAAGCAAAGGAGAGTCGCAGACGAGAACAGCAGGAGATTCGCTGCGGTGGGGGGGGGGGAGGGAGATTTGGCGGCATGCTTGGGGTGTGGGTGGGGGGGGGCAGCTTTTGGACTGGGTTGGTTATGATGGTGGTGTCCGGCAAGACTGGGCTGAAGTTAGTGTGAAATGTAATACCAGGAAGTTGACAACACCCCTACTATTTCTGACTCTAGGCAGGGAATGGAGGAGGACAGGTGGTACAACTGGCACATAGGTAGCGGAAGAGGGGTGCGGGTGCGAGGGGTGGGGGGGGGGAGGCCAGGTAAGTAGGCGGAGAGGAGGGAGGAGTGTGAGAGAGATGGTTAGCAGATGAATTGACATTGTGCCTATTGGTGGTTGGCACGACTGCGTGTAGAGTTGATGCGGCGGGGGGGAGAGGATTGGGCGGGGATTAGAGGGGGTGATGGCTGACTACAGTGCGGAGTTTTGGGGGAACGATGGCTTTTGGTGGTGAGGAGTGCTGCGCACGCTTCTACACAGCATATTCAGGTACTAATTATAGGATCTAGGAAACATATTCTTATACACATGAGTAGGGTCATCAAGTGATCTTGTTCTAGAATCAGATTGGACAGTAGTATGGAGCAATACGGTGCGGAATTACTTGCATGTGTGGAGTGGTCATTATTGCGTAGCACAACTTACATTAAATACAAAATGAATAAACGATTGTCATTCAAGGACTATATCTGGTCTTGACATTAGCATGAGGTATAAGTGAATTAATGAACAAGAGTGATATTAGACGACCTAGCGCATATAATTATCTCTTATATTGGTTTTGGGGGCTTTGTAGGGTGAGATATCTCTCTATTTCTCTCTCTTCTCTCTCTTCTACTCTCTCTATATATTGCGAGTGAGATGTTGGGATGATAGGATAGAGTGAGTGAGCAAAGGTGTAGTGTTAATTTAGGAAGAGTGATCGATACTTGTAGGTGGGTAGCGTACTGTGTTAGGACTCACAGTACACGTGATCTTTGACAGTGACGCGAGATTTACAGAGTGTCAAAGGTGAGATATTGGAGGACTAGCTGGTGCAGAGGGTGGGGACAGAGAGTCAAGATGTATAGGAGTTATGAATCAGTAGGATATAAGAGGTTATGAATCGGTTATTATTAAGTAGGGAGACTAGCATGTGATTTGAGAAAGTGGGAGTGTGTATTATAGTTCAGGAGATTTCTGATTGGGTCAGTTATTGAATTCTCTAGTGAGCGAGCGGAATGAGTAGGACATATGGGAGAGGGGTGAAATGTGGTGGGATAGATAGAGGCAGTATGAGAGGTGGATATTTGGATGAGGTGTTGTTTTAGGACGTGATTTAGTGTGGACAGAGTGGGGATGAGACACATCAGTAGATAGGCTATGGAAGGCAGGTTATAAGGAGGTGAGAGTGGAGGATTGTAGTGTCTCATGTAGAGAGGGGACACTGATGGTGATCTGTACTAGTATATGTCAATAGATTTCGTTTAGGTGGTTGTTTCACAGAGAGGATATGTGGATGTGAAGTGGAGTACAGTTACATGTCTATGTCACTGAGCAGATGTATGTGGGAGTGAGTGGATTGTTGGGGTCAGAGGTGTTGGAGTAAATGTGGGAATGGTGTATAGGGGGGGGCATGAAGTGGTTTAGAGTCTAGTTGTACTTATTATTTTCACGAGGGTATAGAGCAGATGTAGTGTGCAGGGGGGAGAGGGAGAGAGTGGGAGTCTAGGGTGACATAGAAGTTACATATTGTGGAGGAGTGGTGGGTGAGGGAGGGGGGGGGGTGTAGGGGGTGAGTGATGGGGGGGGGGGGGGGGGGACGACGAGTTATTATATGGGGGGGAAATATGATAGTAGAGTGTGTGGTGTGTGGAGGGGGAGGTGTATGGAGTGGGGGTTTTGGTGGACAGAGTGGAGGTTGTGGGGGGTATGTGTGGTGACAGTATGAGAGTGTAAGTCAAAATGTGGGTAGTGATTGTGGTGGTGTGGAGGAAGACAGATGTGGGATACGGTGGGTATTGATGTGGAGAGGAACACAGATGATTAGACGGGAGAGACAGAGATACGGAGAGATTGAGGCAGGTATAGAGGAGTTGGGGGAGATGGTAGGAGTCACATAAATTGATTGCAGGATGGGAGGGGAGGGTGAGTACGGTGTGGTGGTAGTGAGTGTGTAGGCGGTGGTGATGTGTTATGAGACGTGTGTGATTGAGGTAATGGGAATAGTTCTTACAAGGGGGGGGGTGTGGAGGATAGTATTGGTATGGTCATGGTTGTTACTGTACACAGGGATTCTTAGCTGGGAGATGATAAGAGTGGGGTTCATTATGAACATTCGAGATTTGATCGATGAGGGATTCAGTTATGAGGTGTGTAGGAGACAATAGTTGGGATAAATTCGTGAGTACGGTGAATATGGATAGTTAGTGGGTGGTGGGTCACGAGGGGGGGTGGATTTTGGTTGGGTTTATATACTATCTTCTGATATATTGGTTTGGTAGCGTGAGAGTTCTAATGGTATTTGGTTTTATGTTGAGTGTGGGGGATTTGGATATCTGTGTATCTATCTATATATATATCTCTTTGGTTTTGTGGGTGGGGGGGTTTGTGGGGAGTGTGTGTTGTTTTTTGGGGGAGAGATAGGGTGGGTGTTTGGGTGGGGGGGGGGTGGGGTGGGGGTGGTTGTTGTTTGGTGTGTTGTGAGAGGGGGAGTGGGGGGTGGGTGGGGTATTATAGTATGTTGTTATTTATGTTGGATTTCTATGTTAACAGTAGTTTGAGGTTAATTATGGGACAGGATGTTGATGCTAGAATGGTGATGGAGGAGGGGGTGAGTCAAGAGGGGGTGAGCGGAATTGGGTGGTTATTATATTTATGATAAATTCTATCTAGGGAGAGTGTAGTGGAGAGTGTATACTGGTAAGTGGAGTCTGTAAGATTAGAGGGTTAATTAGGTAATATTGGATATTCTATCATACGTTGGTAGTGAGTAGACACAGAGTGGGGGAGAGAGAGAGAGAAGGTACATGGGAGGTCAGTTAGAGTAGTATGGAGGGAGGTGGACGTGGTAGAGTAGTGGGGTTGGGTGGGGTTTTTAGTATGATGAAGACAGGATAGAGAGGTATTGGGAGGGTAGAGTGGTGGTAGTTTTTTTTTGTTTTGTGGTTTTGTTGGGGTGTGGGGGGTGTTTTTTTTTGTGAGTGATATTAGTTTTTTATCTGTGTTATATTTTATTTTGATTGTTGGGAATAGTGGGGTATGTTGGTGGATGTGTAATAGATAATATATTTGGTTATTTATTATGTTGATATGTTGGATGGTTGTTGAGGTTATGTTTGTTAGGGGTCATGGTTTTGTTTAGATAATTACTATAAAAAAGCTAATGAATAATCTCAGGGAAGCAATGATCGTCAAAGAAAAATACAAAGAAGAGGATGTCTTTATCCTACGTATAAATAACGAGAAATAAATCGCAAGGCCAATTATTGGAAGTTTGTGGAATCAAGTGGAAGTTTCCATGTTTCGCGAATGAACAATTATATGTCGCGTTCAAAACAAAATACCAAAAATATTGTTGATCAAAAAGCATTAAATTGATTTAATTTTTTTAATAGATTATATTTTTTAGTATTTTTTTGGGTTTTCTGTTAATTTTTAGCTATTAAACTTTGATAACTTAATACTCTAAGGGGTACGAAGTTCACGTGATCAGCTAATTATAAAATAGAAACTAAAAATTACCTTCCGCGTGACCCATCACTGGTATATGCTGACTTTGGTCTTGAATACTGCGGACTAATTCATTCGAACCCCTAGGAATAATAAGATCTATGTGATTTTCCATTGTCAATAAGTCGCTAATTTCTTCTCTGGTAGATACCTAAAAACCACATAAAAATTGTACTTCTTTCTATACATTTTTTTTTGATAAATTCCCAAAAATTTATTTTTTAAAATATTGTTCCATATAATTATACAATAACAATCAGAAACAAACTTACCAAAGAAATAGCGTTATCTGCCCCGATAGTCTTTAATGAATCAGTAACAAGTTGCATAAGAGCTTTATTGCTATGCATAGCTTCCTTTCCACCCTTCAGTAATAAACCATTCCCAGATGCAATTGCCAGGGCCGCTACTTGAGGTAAAGAATCCGGTCTAGATTCAAAAATAACCAAGAGAACACCTATAGGTACTGTGATTTGCTTTAAAATCAAACCGTCAGCCAATTTTGTTCTTTTTAAAACCCTGCCAACATTATTGTGACTACTATCAGCAATCTGTTTTAAACCGATGGAAAGATTTCTAAGTTTTGCTGGTGTTAAAGATAGTCTTGACATAAGTGGCTTGGCTAGACCCATTTTAGCTCCTTCTTGAAGATCTTTTTGATTTGCATCCAGAATTTCTGCCTGTTTTGAGATAAGGAGATCCGCCAAGTTATGAACGCACGATGCTCGTTGATCAGGACTTAATGTAGCTAGAATACGGCCGCCAAGTCGAGCTTAAACATTTTATATTTATTAACTATTATACATATTAGTAAATCTATAAATATTACATAGCGATATCGGAAAAAAACGTAATTAGTTGATTTTACCCGATTCCACACAAATATACAAAATACAAACATATATAGACCCTTACTTGTTTTTTGCATTCTTTAAAATTGAAAACAAAAATTTAAAGAAGCACGTGGACGTTCTTTAGACTATTGTACAACACTTTAGTGTGAATCGTATAGAAATATTCGGTAGTGCTATGTATGTGTGGTGAAATAATGACTACCTATGAGAATGAAATTATTTACGTAAATTCTAAGCTTTACAATTATTTCGGAAGTCATGTAGTTTGAATTGAATTTTTAATCCAATAAATCGCATTGTGAATTTTATGTTAAAGAATATGTAAAGAAAAATTTAGAAAAATTTACAAAAAAATAGTAAGTAGTATACTTAATGCAATTAACGTAGAAGTTATTCATTCGTTTTTCATCTATATCTAACCAAAAATATGTGTTGATGATAAATCTAGTAATAATGCCAAATCTACGAACATTTTGAACTTAAATAAACCAAATAAAGTCCTTGAAAATCGAGTACATAAAAGTTCAAATACTGGCCAAAATAACAAAAAACTTTCTCTTGTTATGTGGCTAAATAGTTATTTGTAATTATAGTGGAATGCTATTTATATCTGAGATTAAGATCAATTGAATTTAGCAAGTAGTTGAGGAGTTTACTCATAACCCAATAACCCAATAATTAACTAATTGATACTTAATTGTATTACGTTTAATATTTTAAAATTAAAAACGAATTAAATTTTCGCCTCTCACCCCCTAAAAGTTGTTTCATTTATGAAACAGAAAATATTTAAAGGTGGCATCGAGTCCCTAAAATTTTAACTTGAGATTAGTCATGTAGTAAGTGTTGTCCTTATAATTTCATCGCGCTATTGGTGTTAATTACAGATTCGCAGAGTTTTATCGAAACTATGGACCTGGAGTTGTTTTTCGTTTTCGCTACAAAGTGTATTTCGATCGTATGTATATAACATTTTGGAAGCAAAACTCCAAAAACTACCATCATATAGGCAAGCTTCTGGACACTGCATGTACCTTCATAACAGTAGAACAGAAAACTATTTGAGTAACTGCGTGAGATGTCATTTAAGTAGTTACAGCCTTTTGGAATAAAGCTAATATTCCACTTGGGGTGCTCAATATAGTGTTGCAAAGTTGGAGAAAGTTTTCGAGGAATGGAAAGGTCTACGTAAGCACAAAAATCGAAAAACTGAGTATTACAAAGAGAAGGAAGCGAATTTTGTTGAACGCATTGAGGATCTTTTGGATATAGCCCATGCAAATGCTTTGGATATAATTACGATTGCAGAAGACTTTTTACTCTTGCATTATAAAACTATTGTAAATATAAAAGCATTTTTAGACAAATTTTTAAAAAATGCCGATAATAGTTTTTTAAAATTTTTTTTATTTTTTTCATTATTTCATTATTTGCGGAAGAACCTACATTTTGCAAAATTTTTGCAAACCTCAGTACTTTAGGATTGTAAATTTTTTGTTTTTTAATAATTAACACTTTCAGCTATATTTTCCTAAATTTTCATCCTCGGTATATATTTTTTTTGGATTTTGGTATTCATTGATCGGGCTATTTAATACATAGTCAAATTTAAATTTTTTAATTGAACATTAAATTTTGTGTGGAAAAAAAAATAAATTTGTTAATGTATTTGTCTATTTGACTTATTTATAAAATATTTATAAGAGTTGTCAAAAACCGTATAAAGGGTGAAATTTTTTCTATGAACAAAACGAACTAATTTTTTAAAACCGGACCTGATTTTCCAGTTTGAATAAATCAAACTGGAAAAAATCAGGTCCGGTTTGTTTGTTAAATGTTGAATTAAATGTTTGTTCAAAAAATGTTATTTTTGCGAGAAAAGTTACATTTTTTACATCGATGGTTCGCTTTGCTAAAATTTTAATTCATATTAAAATTTGATTTTTTTAATTAAAAATTAAGTAGGTAATTTTGTGGAGAAGAAATATTCCATTTTAATTACCTATTTGTCTAATTTTTAAAATTCTTATTGAAGTTTTTAAAAACCGTATAAAGGGTAAAATTTTGTCTATGAACTAAACAAACTAATGTCTTAAAACCGAACCTAAATATTTTTTGAGTTTGAATAAATCACTTGATTCGATGGTAGTAGTGTAACGTTTGACCAAAATTATGAGACTCACCGACCGTACCATTCAAAAGTTATGATAAATAGAAATTTCAGTCAAAATTCACAACTCACCCTGTATAGTCTTATGCAGAGGTAGGATTAACCACTATGGGGGTTTACGAGATAGGAGTATGTAGAGTTCCTCATGACTCACCCTTTATATTTATTTATAATATAGCATTAATTTAACTATAGCGTGAAATGATACAGGCCAATCTTAACTACTTGTTTCATGTGCAAACTAATAGAAAAAATGGTTAGTAGTAGATTAATGTGAACATTGGAAAAAAATTCCGATTACTGAGCAAAATGGATTTAGACAGAATCGATCAACATCTGATAAATACTAGATTATACGGTAAACCCACAACGGTCGATCCTCATATACAATTTTTAGTAATTCCTTTGGACAATAGACTAACGCAACGGCCAAAACATATTATACAGCAATTACAATTAACTTGCCGTAAGAGAATATTTTTTTTAAAAACAACGACTTTACCCATATATCAACAACATATCCTTAACACCCAATTGAAAAAATGGCCAAATCAGAACTTTACATATGTATGTCAAGAAAAAGGTAAAACAGTTGACTTTATTAGTTGAATACCCAACTCCCATGTGGGTATTTCAAGAAAGGAATAAGCAGTTAAGTGCGCGTAGTGCAGTGTCTAGTGTGAATCCGTGAATAATATTAATATGATTACTAATAGTATTAGTCATACAACAGACCAGAAAATTTCAAAATTTATATTAAGGAAAAGATTTTGAACGTTTGATATAATTAATGGCAAACATCAACGTCTAAACTACTACAAATTAAAGACACATTTATAAGGACTAATCCTTTATACAAAAATTGTCATGAACAGAATGTAGTTAACCGATTACGATTATGCCATACTATACTCACACAGTAATACCTATTTTTAAGGTAACCCACAAAATATGTGGGCACTGTAATACAACCTTAACAAACAAACATAATATTGAATGTAACAAATTCAAACATTAACAATATCTTTTTAAAATATATTTAAGATTATTTGTCGTAGCGGGCAATTGCATACGCAGACGACCTAGCCCTACTAATTGAAGATAATATGAATTGAGGCATGATAAATAAAGTAAATAAGGCGTTGGAAAAAACCATGAGATGAATAGAGACAAACGATCTAAAATTGGCAGTAAAAAAGACCGAAATATCTGAGGCACGCGAGATCGAGATGTAAGCTTCCGTTTCCGAGGTTCCGAAATAAGACCCCAGAAAACCGCAAAATACCTTGACGTAATATTTGACTATAGAATAGCATTCAGGCAACACATACAAAAAGCATGTCGAAAAGCAGAAGAGAGAAGTTCAACCCTGCACAAGATCATGCCAAATGCAGGAGGTTTCAATCGATAATGTCTATAATATTATACATGACACAGTGTGGCATGAGGTCCTTAATAAGGCTAAATACAGTGACATGGTTTTTATCACGATGCTGCACCCCATTAACTATCGCACCACATGTGATAGGCAGTGCACATCCTGGTCAGCGAAAAGGTACGAATGCATCGGAGGGGCAACGGAGCTGCAGGTTCAGGACCACAAGAAAGGAAAAGAAGCTTAGAAATGTGTCAGGATCAGTGGTCAAGGGAAACAGCAAGGCCGTCTGGGTGGCTCTTATCCCTGATGTACCTAACGAGGTGGTACAAATTTAAACACAGGCGCGTCAACTATTACTTTACGCAGTTTTTGACAGGGCATGGGTCATTTCCGTTATTTACACATCGCATACAAAAGACCACGGATAACCTGAGCATCGTATGTGGGGTGATGGATGATGGGCGCACCACGTGATTTTTGTATGCCCTATCTGTTAGGCGGGGCGAACCTTGTTACAGCAGGGTATAGGGTCACCTCTAGGCGAGCCCCACGAATTGATCAACAAGTCAATGGAAAATAAAAAAATTTTTGACGTGATCATTGATTTTGTCACAATGAAGAACAGGAAGAAGAAGAGAGGAGATAACAATAAAGATAACTTATTTTATTGATTTTCTTTATTTGTTTTACTGATTTTACTTATGTATTTTAATTTTATTTATTTATTTTATTTATACAAGTGTTGTAAGAGTTCAGTAGTTTAAGACTTTTAAATTTGATAATTTTTAATAAATCCTAGACCTCAGTCCCCTGTTAAAGTAAAAATATGACGAAAGGAGGGATGAATGGAGCAAGTTGTTTGTACTGGCTGTCGGGAAACTTCTTGTCAGTTACGAGGGGTGGAACAGCATTGCGGTCGCCGCCTCTGCCCAGTGACCCCGCACATAGGATGTTTGCTTGTCAAACCGAGTCCGGGTGCGGGAGTGGGTGTGGTGGTACGATTGGAATGTGAACGTTGTGACAGTCATATAACGTCCACAGAAAGTGTCCTATATGAGTATTAGCAAAGTTGACGGGTCAGATGACGATGCTCGCTAAGTGCGGTCCTAGTCACGTCAATTGGAGAACGAGGGGGTAAGTTTAGTTGGTAGGCAGTTCGTTACGGTAAAGAGTAATGGACTGAATCAAACACACCTCGGATACCTTCCCAGAGGTCTTTAGAAGATTCTCACCTCCCAATAACATCAGAATATTAGTCGTGCTAGGCCAAGTTCTTGAAGAATTTAAATGTATTACATACCATTTAATTACTTTTTATAAAATTGTTTACACTTTATTTACTTTATTTACTAATTGTTTACTTATTGAATACTAAGTTTGATGTACAATTGAACTACACTCGACTTACGGAAAAATTTTAAAGCGACACTGCGCGGAAGTATAATGACCAGAAGATTATATCGAAACTGCAGTTTTTACCCTGTACCGATAATATAACTTACCATTTTCGGCTACAACTTCAGAAGAAACAGGTCCTCCTAGTGAATGTTCAGTAAAAAAAGTACCAACTTTTCTTCCAGCCATGATAGATCTTATAGCTTTATCTAGTGTACCGTTACATATAACAACTGAAACTCCTCTTTCTAATGCCCATGTAGCAGAAGTTACTTTAGAGTCCATTCCTCCTGTACCAACTTTACTTTTTTGTCCAAATTCAATAGTGTGACTTAAACTTGAGGTAAACGTATGCAAGAATTTTGCTCCAGCTTCCCACGGTGGTTTGTCATAAATGCCATCTACATCAGACATAAGAATAAGAAGATCGGACTGAATTTCAGCAGCTAGCATAGCCGCTAAGCTATCGTTATCCTTAAGAGAAATGCCTTTTTTTCCAGCCTTTCCTCCTATTGGTTCATCTATTTGTGGTGGAGGGGAAACGGCATCGTTCGTATTAATAATTGGCACAATGTTTAGGCTTATTAACTCTGTAAGAGTACTAATTAGATTTTTTCTCGTTTCTTCGTTGTAAAAGTCTGCTTTCGTTACTAATACTTGGGCAATTTTGACACCATATTGCGAAAACATGGCATCATAGAGAGACATAAGACCTGATTGTCCTACTGCAGCTGCTGCTCTAGGCTCTACAAGAGTTGGGGCCTCCTAAAATCAAACTTGTGCATTATATCACAGTTTAAAGTATGTATTTAAATATAATGGATAAAATATCAAAAAATATTTGTTCAAGTATCTATATAGTATATAAATTACTACACAATTATGTTGTCTACAAAATAAATTGTTAACTAAAAAAAAAGCTAAAAGATACTAAAAAAATCACTACTATACTCTATACACATTCATGTGTACATAGTATAGTAGTGATTTTTTGTAACAATAATAATTTAAATAGAAAAACTGGGTATAAAAAAACATCTATATAAGATCATGCAGAAAGATGTGCTACTCTTGACAACCAGATACATGTGAAAATTTTTGAAAAAATAGTCCCATCAGAGCTCAATCCTTTTGATACCGTAGGTGTCTAGGATGAATTTTCCCCTTAGAGGAAGTGTGAGTCGTATGGCTAAATCTGGATTTTATAATAATAATGATAAACTAGTTTTCATTAGGTAGTAATCCAGGTGAAACTGATAGCTGACCCTTTTCCCGAGCATCGTATTCAAAAGAGAATGTAGGATCTCCCAGAAGTCCAAAATCATAAGGTTTACTAGAAGGGGTAATTTACAGAAATTGGGTTCTCTCAGACATATTACACTGTATGTATAACATGGTCTTCTTCTTCTTTTTCTTCCTCTTTATAAGCAATTCTGCATATGCATTAGCAGATTAATACCCCTATGGAAGTTTGTTACTCCATCTTTTGTGCAGTCGTCCGATACGTCTGTCGATGGATAACTTATCTCTTGCTATTTTGACAACATGGGTCTCCTCCATTCTGCTTACGTGATTATATCATTTTTTTTCTATTTTGTGTCCATTCATTTATATACGGTATTTACATTTTCTTTTAATGTCTTTACTTCTCTTTCGATCTCTTAGCGTATTTCCTGTAACTCTTCTTAGTACTCTCATCACTGCCGTTTTCCAGTAGCCTTTCTGTTGTTAAATTATGCCTCGGAACAGGAATGATTTCATTAAGACGTCTAACGCGAGAATGAGGACAACCAATTTATAACATGATGTTAAAACCAACAATTACATAGGCACTATATGCAGTGATAAGGTGGCCAAAATCTCAAACTAAGCAAGGTGCAAAGCCTTGCTTGTCTTGGAATCACAGGAGCTATGAGGAGCACACCAACGGTACCCACGGAGGCTCTACCGCACCTACCTCATTTAGACATAATTGTAAAGAAGGGGGCAAAAATATAATAATATAGACTGCGAGAAAAGCTGAGCATCGTAATGGTTAGATCAAAATATAGTAATATTATAAATAAACTTAGGGATGCCGAAAAGATGGTTGAATATGTTTGACCATATGGTACCCAGATATAGGTCTAAAGTACCTTTTTAAATAGACATTCGCCCACTATAGAGATGAGGCTGCAAAAACACTCGAAATAGACTTCAGGCTTTCATAAGCCCTAAGGTGGACTCTTGACTAGTGGTAAAATGCCAAGAGCAACCGACAGATTGTAGGAACATAACAGTGTCAAACTAGTTTGGGTCCAGATTAATGGAGAATACACGGCAATAAAATGGCTGATAAATATGCCACAATAGTTAGAAAATACTTTGGTCCAGAATCGGTCGAGGGGGTGTTAAAAAGTACAAATAGGTACAAAAGTCAATAATGCTACCAGACAAAGCCTAAATCCAAAGGCAACATAACTCTCACTGGAAAAATATACTTGGTCAAGCATATGGAAAAATTTATATTTAGCGGACATGCCTTATGTCTTAAGTACTGCGGAAAACAAGCAAAATTCAGTCCAGAGTAATAACAGCCTTCCTTACTGCACATGTAACAGTCACAAGACACCTGCATACAATGGGACTGTTTCATGGAAATTTAAGCTACAGACTCTGTAAGTCCAAATACATATGATATTCATCCTCCTATACAAGCTGGTACAGGGTTACAGAATCCTGAAATGGACATCATGAGTAAATAGTAAATGTACCATAAGCCAACTGGTTGAAGTACGACCCGTTTACAATTGACGGCTCTCATGGAAAAAAAACTAAACTAAAATAAAATCTTACGTTGGTATTTTCTTGCAAATTCTTTTTTTAATATTAGTATTCAGATCCAACATGGATTGCTGGAGGAAAATGACCATAGATTCTCATTAAAGAGCTTTTTAGTATTCTTAAAACGAACTGAAAAAATAGCATCGTAGAAACTGCTATCATTTTACTAAATAATCCAAGTAGCAAATTCCGCAGTAGTGGTATTTAAGCCCGCTGGTTAGTGGCATTAAAAGAAGCAGTTATATATAAAAGATTAAATCTTCTAGCAAAAGCTGTTACTGCTTTGTTGAAATAATATGGCCAAGGAGGACAAATTCGTTAAATTTTCCGTGCTCGAATCGCTATCAACAAAGTGTTATGACTCATTTCAGCATATCCCTGCCTCATCAGACACTTGGGCTGATACAAATTCAAACACGGAAAGAACAACGATTGTCTCCTAAAATTTGACCACTGCAGTGGTTAGTGTACAGAGGTGTCACCTGCTTTGGCGGCCATGAACGAAAACGATTTAATAATTTTGTTTTCTGATCAATTTATAATAATAATATTATAATATTTTATAATATTTTCGTTTTCTGATAACATCTAAAATTTCGTTTTTCACTTGGGCTGATACAAATTCAAACACGAAAAGTACAACGAGTGTCTCCTAAAACTTGACCACGGCAATGGTTAGCGTACAGTGGTTTGAATTTGTATCAGCTCAAATGTCTGATGAGGCAGGGATATGCTGAAATGATTCATTATACTTTATTAACACCAATCCGAGCACGGGAAGTTTACCAAATTTATCCTCCCAGGCCATATATTTGGCCATTTAATTCAATCAACAAAGCGATAGCAGCTCTTACTAAAAGATTTATTCTTTTACACATTTTGTATATCCCAGAGAACAGAAAACGATATTATTAAATTGTTTTCGTTCATGGCCACCAAAGCAGGTAGTATCTCTTGTAAGTTTTTTAGTATGTCTGCTTAACGTGGAACTATATGGGAAATTTTTTTACTATTAATTTTAGGAAAAAAAGTTATTCTTCATAACAAGCTCTGCATGGTCCAGAACCTAAGATGCAATCATCAGATATAAAATGTTATCAATGTTTTACGAGATATGTCAAAAAATATTAATTTCTCTCAAGAGTAGAGTAACCTTTATGTTTCACAATATCGAAAATTATTATAAAGAAAACTTGTTTAAAATTAAATGTTTCAATATGGAATTACATCCTAATTAAAAAAACAAATTTTGCAAATTTTTCTCAAATCAGTGATATCTACCCAACATCAGTTTTTTAACTTAAATCTTTTATTAATAATTTTACGAAAAAAAACTATTCTTTATAAAATGCCCTGAATGGTCTAAAACCTAAGATGTAACCATCAGATATTAAAGTTTATTCATTTTATACAAGGTATGTAAAAAATATGAATTGCTTTTAGGAGTAAAGTACCTTTCTTTTTCAAATTAATGAAAATTATTATAATAAAAAGTTTTTTAATTAAAAACTATGTTTCAATATGGAATTATCTTTTTTATTTAAATGTTTACATTTTTAAAATTCGTGTTATTTTGACGTACTTCAAAATTGAAAAACTGTATTACCCGATAAGTGCATTTTAGTTTTTAGACCATACGGAGCACTTTATGCAGAATAACTTTTTTCCTTAAAATTATTAATTTTTTTTTAATTAGAAGAATCAGTAATTACTCTTGAGCGAAATTCATATTTTTTGGCATGCCACGTATAATATTGATAAAATTTTATATGTAATTACATCTTAGATTTTAGACCATACAGAACTTTTAATGAAGACTGCCTTTTTTTTCGTAAAATCAATAATAAAACTTACGCTGACAAACTATATAAAATATAGAAAACTTATATAGTTCTTGCAAAAATGTTGGTGTTATTTTTTAGTTATTATAAAGTAAAGTAAACTAAAGTAAAGTAAGTCTTGAAAATAAATAGATGTATTTTTTTATAAGACTTTTATATACCCTGTATTATTTATAGAACACTGCGTTCCTAAGCTATATTTTGATGTTGTAATATGTAGTAACCAATAATCAAAATACGTTCCAAGAAAATAAATTGAAATGTTTTTAAAACACGTGGTTTCGTTTACTTTCTACAAGTATTATCCTAGTTCCGTATTTGATATCAATACCTTATTTTGTAACTGATATTACTTCATAAAACGTGTTTGATATTGACTGCGTAAATGACCTACTACTATTGATATTTTTATATAAAATCTATCGTAACCATGACCGTTTAAAATATTCCATATTATGAATTTTTTGTTTTAACTAGAACATAAATGAAAACAGGCAAATTTGTATATTTCAATTTAAATATTTTTTTTTACGTAAATTGACAAAAAAAAACAAAATTATTGTAAATATTTTTCTTGTACTCACTCGTCATTTTACTATTTCTTTGTAGGTAGATACATTATTTTATCCATTGTTCTGAAGCTACTGTGAAAAGCGTTCCACAAAAATACAAATTAAAAAAATTTGTTACTTAGTAATACAAAAAATTCTTTTAATAATTTCATTTTATCTGACTCATTCATATAGACAATTAAGATATATTTTAAAGTAGATGACTTCATATAAATAAAATAAAATTGTCAATATTTTGGAGTTACATTCCTGGGACGACTTTATTAGAAGATACTCCTTTCGATGCCATGAAATCAACTTTAGCTTTATAATAAACGTTAGAAAAAGCGTAGCATTTAATTTGTCTTTCAAAAGAACACCACGTTCTTTTCTGGCAGATGACAGAGAAATTCTCATTTTAGTGATCCCATAGTAAATCATGAGAAGAAAATTTTTGAAAAAAAAAACTCATGATCTATCCTTCAAGCTAAGTATGTGGTCTTACATTTAGTTTACTCTCAATATTAATATCAAACTCTAATTTTATATA